GGTAAGGAAACCTCAGGCACCCTCTGCCCAACATATTTACTGGCAACTGCAGCAATTCCTGCAGCCACCTCGGGTGGAATTACTATGCAAAGGTTGTTTTTACAATCCTCTCCATAAAACGATTGTAAACCACCATATGTTTGACTGTCTCTTTAAGACTTTGGCAAGTGTTTTGGCATACTTAGGTTCTACCCTGTTCTTGTAAGTGTTGCTTATTGCTATGGCAACACTAATCAATCATCATGCTAAAAATAGGCCTTTCATTTCTCAAGTGGTTATCTGTAGTGAATTGAAAATGCAACTGTGGTCTGTGTTTTCTGTATGCTGCTTTCATTTCCCTTTATTTTAATCTGGAAACACTCGTGTTTATATGTGGTAATTACTATTGCAGACTCAGGTTATCTCACTAGTTATTCTCTCGAGCCTTAAACCTCTCCCAGGTCTTCCAAAAGGAGTGCCAAATACAGAAAGTTTAAGAAAACAAAGAAAAAAACCCAGAATATTCCCCTTGATTTTGAGTGCCACCGGTGTACCGGACTATAACAAATTTTGAGGGGTTGATTTCACATCTAAAAAGTCTCATTTCAAGTTCAGGACTGCATCTGCCACCGTGTTCTGTGGCAGAGGAGCCCTGCCAGCTGCAGGCAGTGCCAGGGGAGCTGGGAGCAGGGCCCTGTGCGTTCCTGCGGGCGCATCCATCCCCTGCCAGGTCTGTGCTGGAAGAACACACCCCGGGGAGGCAGGGCAGAAAGGGAGTGGTGCTTCAAAAAAAGAACTACTGAAAGGTTTATTACTTACCATTCACTCCCGAGTTTGATTCTGACTGTTGCATAACACTTTTAATCCCTGTCTAAGTAAATATCCAGCTACTTAGGGAGGGGGGAAAAAACCCAATAACTTTTTGCGTGCTGAATAATAGTCTTCTGAATGATGCATAAACAGTTTTCTGGTTCTGCCAGAGCCCTCTGCCAATTAGTCAGAGTGCAGCTGATGAATCATGAGACACATTCTGTGAAATGTTCAAAAATTTGGACCCTGCTAAGTGTTCCTGAAAGCCAGTGAGACCCCCCACAGCTGCTGAAACAGTGGTTGGCAGCCAGTCGAGTTTCTGAGAGATATATTTGCAATGGAGTACTTTTTGGTGAATTTAAGGTTTTATTTGGGGTAAATTCATGTTACCATTTATAACCTCTAATTAGATTGTTATAGTCCTTGCCTTTCTACTAAATACACAGGGAGGCTGACTATTCAAAGCTGGTGCAGAAAATGACTTCCCGCTCTCTAATGAGGTGGCTTGAGGTAAATGGCACTTAAATTCTTCTGTAATACTCTGAAGATTTCTCATCTTTTCTTAATGTTTCCTTTTTTGAAATACAAGATTAGAAGTGCTCTTTTTTTTTATTCAAAGTTTAGATTCTGGGTCACAGGAAACAACAACTAGATTGAGGCAGTGGCTTGCTGAGCTGCTACAGACAGCCTAATGCAGCCTTAAGTTCAATATCTGAAATGGCTGTGTTGCAAAGTGCCATCAGCTGACTCATTGCTGGTAAACTCCAGGCAGTGACTGAAGAGAGTAGATTTTTTAAAATAGCAAGGTACAAGGGAAATCTGGCATTTGACTATTCAAATTTTCCTCTGAAACCGTAGCCATGGTTCAAATCAAACACACAAAGGGATTTCATATTTTGCGTGGTTCTCCTCTGCTGGACCTGAAACTGTGACCCAAAAGGAGATATTTTGATAATAAAAAAATTAATATTGAAGAATGTACTCCATCCAACACCACCTGAATTTCTATAGTTAGATCATCAGGAAAGATACTGAATCAGAACCAGGGAGGAGGAACTGCTTTGGTAACGGTGTTAACTTTGTTTTAGCTGTAAATGACACATGCTATCCTGAGTTCCTTCTGGCAACAGGCCCATGAGAGGAGCACCAAGGCCTGTGGTGGCCCCTGCTACTGCCCAGAAGAGCTGAGAGAACTGTGCTCCCCGGGGCCGTTAAGGTGTCAGCACAGTCTGAGCAGTTTCCATGGTCACTGAGGCTTCTGACAAACCACCAGACCCAGACTGTGTAACTTAAAAGTTTGCAAACTCACAAAGCTCTGACCTAGTTACTCAACCCACTCAAGGCCTTCACGGCCCTTCCACTAGTGACAGATCACTGATATTATTCTGTTTTCTGGTTTTCTCTATTACTAGATTTTATTTAGGGAGTGTTGATTTTGTTTATTTGTGTAGCAAAGAAAATGAAATTTGGGTCCTCAGATCAAGAGAGCAGCTACTTAACATACAGTAACATGCAAGGAAAACATGGCCTGGAGCAGTAGCCTTGAAATAGAGACAAGATGTTGGTAAATGTTTTCCTAATAACAGATTTCCAGCCAGTATATCCTAGATGGTATGGCACACAGCTCTACCATTTTCAGGAAAAATGTTCTAAAAGCTGTTATTCAGACCTAAGCCTTGAGTCCTTAGTGGTGCAGTCCCAGTTACACTAGTAACTGCTGATGAAACAAAATATTCCTTGGCAGTGTCCCCTCTTTTCCTCAGGGCTGCTTTCCACGGGATGCCCATACGCAGAGGTCTGGTGTCAGCAGGGGCTCTGTGACCCCCATACTTACACATCTTGGTAAAATACAAGGCTGGCATACACTAAATTTTTGAGATCAATAACCCATGATTTTACCACCCTAGCACCAATGTAGTTATTTCCCAAATGCTCTAAAAACTGTGCAGTAGATGATGTCTGTCGTTAGGTTATACATTTTTTTTAAAAATCTGCCTTTCATAATCCACCTCCAGTAGTAATTTACTTTTCAACCCTCTGTGTTCTCCTGCAAACACAGAAAACAACCAGAATGTTGGTTTGAATACAAATGCTCTGGATGACATCAGCCATTGTTTCAGGACCTGCTGGCATCACTCAGTCTCCTGGGTCATTCTCTACTTTTTTGTAACATCACATTTATAACTTTTCTTACTCTAGGAACATTCTGTGATAGAATCCTTTTAATCAACCCCTTTTATTCATCTCTTCTTCCAGCTGTCAATACAGTTCAAGGACATTCATTCCACCTTTTGGTTAATTTTGGAGAGCCAAATTAGAGCCTTATGACAAACCTTGGCTGCTTCTTTCTTTTCTTTATTTTTTCCCCAGCTTCTTTCCCTGTAGTGCCTACTTTTTGCCAAGGCTTTTTTGTTTGCAGATGCCTCTGGATGTCTGCCAGAATAGGGGCAGCATACAGATACATGGTGAAACCCCAATTGGGAGAATATCTGGATTTTTTTTGTTGTCAATTCATATTACAAGATACCCTGTTCTGACAGACTGTAAATATTGTATATTTTCAGCTGGCCCTTCCTGAGATGTACACACAGGAAATGTTTAATTGCCCACAGAATATAGGTGATAGGAGCTAGCAGATCTGTCACTGAACTTGCCCCATCCTGTACTCTACATACATTCTTTTTTTCATCTCCCACATGCTCACTCAGTGAAGACATTGCATAGCTCAGAGCCAGCTGCAGCTTAGGCTGGATTGAAACTCATAAATGTCCTACTCCACAGAAACCTTTAACAAAAGGCAAAACGTCTGTAAGCTGTGAAGAGAAGCCTGTGTGGTCTGGGCATCTGCAGCACCAATGTTCTACACGGGAGTTTTTCAGTATGCTAATGGAGAGACAGTTTGAGCAGAAGCCTTCCACGACACCAAAACCTTATTCTGGCAAAACTCTCTCACCTGTGTTTTCAAAAAGGCTTGGTTCTAAGTGTGCTTATTGAATACTAGATATCCTGTGATCAGAAGACTGGACAATAACGTGTTGGGTGCTACCTGTGGCATCAGGATTAGATTGTTGCAGTCTCAAAGGAGCTGGCTTCCATCTCAGTTTTGTTGCACTACAGCTGACCTCCTAAATCATCCCCTCTTTTCTTTCTCCTCAGCCCCTCCCTTAGAAGAACTTTCTGAATTTTTATCAAGTCCGAACTTGGACCAACAGCAATGTGAACACTGAGGCATCATAATGTCCTCATTGTCTAACCTGTATGTACAGTACATTAAATAATCCCACTCTTCACAAAGCCTTTCTGCCACAGGGCATTCGTGATGCATCACAGGGAACCGGCACTTCAGTGCCACTGGCAGTTAATGGGAGGAAAGATTGGTGACTAATAGTAAAGGTGCTGAACTAGGATCCTTCAGAGTTTGTTAGAAGTTGATTTCAAAGTACTGAAATGCTAAAGAAAATATATTTTAAATGTTTGGGTTTTTTTTTTTTTTTCTGCGTGTAATTGGTTGCCTAGTATTGTAAATTCTAGTCTTGATAAGCCAAAGAAATTAAGCAAACCACAGAAAAATATATTTACTCCCATATAAAATACAGAAATATTACCTTTGATAGATAAACATCTGTGCATTCTTAATTTTCATGTATTGCTAGCTAAAGATTGATTTGGGTTTAGTATAAAGGAATTTCCACAGCAGCTCAAAACACATCTTCATTTCATTAACAGGAAATTATGCTAAAATTAATTTCTTACTGAAAATTTCAAAAAGCCCTGACATCATCACATTGATGTCTCTTTGTTTAGCACCTGCAGCTAGTGAAGTGTCCTTGGATTGTTTTATTTGGGGCATAGACTAATCTATGATGACAAATGCTTAGCTGCTCTCGAGATGCTGGTGAAATGAATCTGTAACCAGACATTCAGGATATTTCTACTCTCATACATAGTGAGCATGAAAACTGTTGTACCCAGTTGTTCCAAAGTGCTTAACTGATTTTTTTATACTCTCATTATAGTATTCAACTTTTAGATAGAATTTCTACATCCCTCCAGAATCATAAAAACCTTTGCTGTTATATTCTGTGTACTCTTACTTTTTCTTGAAGTAATCTGAAAAAAAATAAGAAAGTTGATAACAAAGAGGGTAAGTATATCAGCTGATGAAGCAAAGCATATTTTTTATGTCAAACGTATTTTTTCTTTTGTTGCAGTGTTCATTTTTGCCTAAATTCTCCATTCATATAGAAACAAAATACGAGGACAACAAAGGAAGCAATGACAGTGTAAGTATGATGGCTTTTGCAAAATTTGGCTTAATCCTTCTAGTTAATCCTGGTCTATACGTGGGGGTGACAGGCCTTTCAGTCTGGGAAAGGGGCTGACCAGGCTCCTATCTTGCACCTACCCCAGTGTACTGTTCCTTAACAGTTTGTGGGCTTGCAGGGTAATTGCCTCTAAAGCACCACGAGAGGAAAGATTTGTGCACACAACTTCCCTTCTGCATCTCATATTCCACTTGTTATTTCTCTAAACACAACACCATTTACATATGTGAATTTAGTCCTGATGAACATTTAGGGTGAGTAAAGAAAATATTGCTCTGTGTTTGTGTGTGTGTAATTGTATTCCAGTTTATCTGTTTCACATTATTCTCTTTGAATAAAGGGGGTTGAATTCAAAGGAGCTGTTAGGAAGAGTAAACAGGAAACAAAACAATGGTCAGAGATGAGAGATCTCAGTAAACAGCTTCAAGGGAACAATGGCTGGACCTCTGAGGTGATGCTTTTGGCAACCACTTACTAAATGTTAAAAAGTTCTCAGAGTTAGAGCTTAGAGATGAAAGGATCATTAACTATGCAAGATCCTCTCTGGAGGAAGGGTGGGAATGAGGAGCCAGCAGCTGCGGATCAGGAGATGCTCAGGAATAGAAGGCAGGAGGTCAGTTAGACTTTGCTGTCCTGACAGGGAGCAGAGTCATACATTTGCAAGAAAATAATAACTTCTGATAAATGCAGGCATGTAAAGCTCCAGCCCTTGGACTGATACACAGATATGTTTCATGTTTATATTCTTTGAACAATCGTTTGTTGCAGATTTAGGGGAAGACAATTCTCATAGGTGTGAAATAAGGTAAAAATGTCTGGAGAATCGATCTGTCATACAGACACCTGGTGAAGGACTGTTTGACCTCACCGTGGAGAAAGCAGGTGACAGTAAAGCAGATTTTAAGCAGTCTGAGTAACAGAGGCTTTCAGTTTCCAGGGGTGTCCCTCCAGCAGCCCTGCTAGGGTTGAGGAGTTCTGTTCTCCAGGTGGGAGGTGTGTTTCCCTCCCCACACTGGGCCTGCTGACATCTGCTCCACTGCTCAGGGCAGAGTCAGCACGTGTGAACAACAAGGTAGCAGTTGGAATAAAGCTTTTGGCACACAGGCACTTTCCTGATGGGAACAGGACAGAGATCATGTATTAGCCACCAGACACAGCGACCTTCAGCCACTGCTAGGCTAAGGCAGATCAGGGAGGGAGGAAAAACAAGTGTATTGCATTACCAGCTGTAGGAGCATTATGTAATTACACACTTTTTAACATTCACTTCTGCTTTTTGGCAGCACTTTAATTCAGAGCAAGCCCACACCTTTAGTTTTGGGGGGGTGCAAATTAGTTTCCTGGTACATTATAATGTCAGCAAAGAGAAGTCACGTTCTGTGCTGCTGATGCCTAACAGAGGAAGAAGTGGAGCTATTTAATCAGTGAATCTTCACGTTTTCCTGTGTCAGCTTTGTGGCTAAAACACTATGAATCAAGCCCTGAATAGTACCCAACCGATGAATTTAAGATGGAAGTAACACAGAGGTGGGATACTCAGACAATGTAAAGAATCTGCTTGAATCCAGCTGCTCAAATGTCATTTTTACCAGAGTGTCAGTGGGGTAATATATTCTATTACCTTTGTATTGTGGTACCTGACTCACAGACTAGGCAAGTATTTACCAAGAGTAACAGATTAAATTGACCCTTACTTGAACTGAGGGGTAGAAAGAGAAGCTGAGTTAGAGGGCTGTGCTCCAGCCCTGATGTCCATGATTTTGTAATTGAGAGCTATGCTAGGCACTAGTGTGAACACAATAAACCTTTGGAAGAGCTACAGGTTGTGCTGCTGCAGCACTGGGCTGCTGGAAAGAGAGTAAATATGGAGAGATGGGATTGAGTCTGCAGAGAGGCTTCAGTTAAACCAAACACCTTGGAACTAAGGGACTGAGTCAGGCTGGTTTCTAGTACTCAGTGGTTTAAACCTCACCTTAAAGAGTGTGTTTCTCTCTTGTATCAAGCATGTTTAGATTAAATTTCACTATGTTTGCCTGATAAGAAAGCAACAGGAAATATTGCATCTGTTTATATATATATAAAATCTGTTGATTTTGCAGTTATAATGCAAAATATACTGAATTAATATTAATATTACAGTAATTAGGGTAATAATGCATGTCTGACTTTAACTCAACTATTCCTATTTTTTGACATCATACAGGTTTTTTTGAAGCTCTGAACTAGTCTTCATTTCTGTGCTATCTAATAAAGTAGAAATTGTGAAAAGTAGTAATTAGATATAAGGATACTAAAGCTAATTCCATTGATTAGTGGAAAAAAAGCAATATAAATGCTCTTGGGTTCCTGTTGTCATTTAGCAGGCTAGTATGTTATTAGAGTTATTTTATTTAACATTGCATTGTCTGGTAAAATTCTACCTAATTACTGCAATATATCTTGATGCAAAAGTCCTCCTGTTTTTTCTTTCCAATTGTTATGATGATAGAAAAAACTAGTGAGACATAATGATACCTGCTTTGGAACTTGATTTTTCTATGGCTTAGGCTTTGTCATCATTTTAACCCATTCTACATGTGCTTAAAGCAGTAGTGTTCTGATCTGTTAAAGTCTGCACTTGATTTGCACAAATATAAAAATTCCCAGAAGGAACAATGGGCAAAGCCCCCTTTATTTAGATAAAATATTGTGTAGAGGGTGGTGGTGCAGTACCATGAAACCATCCAGCAGTGATTCCTAGTGCTACAGGGCAGCTGAGTTTGCTGTCTTACGTCTAGATGTTTGCATGGCAACTCTCTCCTCAGAAAAACAGACTCAGTGCTGGGTGAACGTGTTAGTACATCAAATATTGTCCCTGCCACCTTGCAGCTTTACAGCTTCATTAGTAGGGTTAGAAGCTAAACCAAAGAGCCAAGCCAAGCCATCCTGTGTTTCCTCTCATGGGTCTTTTAAAAACTAAACTTCCTAGTTTAAAAAGAAAAATTATTTGTATTTTATTTTCAATTACAGAAAGGAACTTTTGAAAAATTAGAATGTTATGTAAATGAGACTGTAGGTGGTATCTGCAGAGTAGGTGAAAATATTGCTCCTTACCTAAGTCAAGGTTGCAGTGGAACTGCTGAGAAGAGGGAGGTGCAGGTGCCTAGACAGACAGCTTCAGCCAACACAGCAGGCTGGGAAGTGCTTAGTAACTGCTCAGGGCACACTTCTCTCCTATGAGAAAAATTAGCAGTTAGGGAATTTGAATATAGATACACAAAGTCTGTATTTTGAATATTAAAACCTTAAGTTAAATACAAGAGCATTCTTAAGGTTATCTAATTAACAGAACGGTCAGAAATCCCTGGCAGGAGTGCTGGTTTGTGAATAAAAGATTAGCCTGTGGTTTTCATGAGCAGACTTTGTTAACCTCTTTTTTTTTTTTTTTATTTAGGCAGATATTAATTTTCCTTTAACAGTCTATTGATTGGTCAGTATTTATGTCACATAAGGCTAATTTTATTCTAAACAATGTATTGCTCTCATTTTTCTGCTATCCCTATTTTTACTATTTTAGTCTACACTGCAGGCACACATTTTATGCTTTTTTCTTTATTTTAGTGGAGGATGCATCAGCTTAGGCTTTCTGTTGATTGCAGAGGATCCACCACATGGCTCCAGCAGCTATTGTGATCATGCCCAGTGGTCTCACAGGCTGCAGCTCTGTGGCTGTTCTCTCATGGCACGGGCTACTCCTGGTGAACATTTCTGAAACGTGGTCTGTAGCTGAAGTGAGAGGAAAGGTAAAGTGAAGGCAGACACTGTCCAAGCCAGTCACTGAATCACAGAGACATTGCAATTTTCCTGTTTGTTGCAGAAGGTTCTCTGTTTGGCTGGGTTTTGTTGTTTTGTTTTTTAGTCACAGAATTAATTTCTGCTGATATTTGAGCAGCGAGTTTTTGCCATCTGATGGCATCTGGGGAAAGCAAAAAAGTACAGCTTGTAAAAATAATGCAGTAGTCAGTAAGAGGAATTCACTGTAACATGGTGCCTTGCCCTTTGTAACATAACATTTTGCTCTGGAGAAGTCAGTGGCTGGATCTTGGTTATTAAAGAGTAACATGCAAGATCTTAAAATAGCATAGTCTCTCTTTTTGTTAAAGGGCCATGACATTTATTAGCAAGAATAACATTATTCTTATGGGTAATGAAGACATGGAGTAAAGATTTTGAGGCTATATTTCAGGATGACAAAGTATGGGTATCATCAGGCAAAGTAAGCAAGTGTCTGTCTCAGTAATGCTGAAAGAGTCATCAGAGCTACAGCACTAGTTCTTTGTCAGCCAAGGGAAAAATATATTATGAACATGTTTCTTGGCTTTCAAAGGTAATAGTGTTGAAAATGCATGTCTCAGAACAACCATTTGCCAAATGAAAACAAGAGGTAGTTCTCTACTCCATGTAGTTATAAATTAACACTAGTAGCACTTGACACATGAATAGCCTGAGGATGCCAAAACCAGCCAGCTAATAGCAGATATTACCTGATATGCAACCAAAGTAAACTGCAGTGCCATCATTTAAAGTCAGAAAATCCTTTCTTGTCAGTGGCTCCTACTCCTGCAGCCCCACAAGTAACTGTACAGGATGGGATCACTCCTCATGCTTCACCCTTAGTGTGTGTCCCTGAAGGGCTGGCTGCGAAACATTGGACTAAAGTAAAATAAATTGTAGGTATGGCCAGCTAAGAAGAGAAGCTGTTTCTAGTTTGCTGGGTTTAGGGTGATTTTTTTTTTCTATCTTAGTAACATGGAACTAGGTTGTAACAAACTCCAGTATAGCACATGTAAATGAAATGTAAATTTGCTATTTAAGGGAACTGCCATGAAACACTGATTTCAGCTGAAATAGATTCAGCTGTGCCCTGGCTTAGCCTCCCCACACTGCAGGATCTCATGCTGTAAATTGTCTGAAGGACT